ACATTCTGGGTTAGCTCCTTGGGTCAAACCAATCTCTAGGTGCACATAGGTCTAAACCTCTTATCACTCACGATCCTGGGGGTGCAACGTTTACTGGAAATGTACTGACCTGAGTCAAGATGTAAACCGCATTAGCTATAGCACCCTAATTTCAATTAAGTTCTCTCATGCATATTTTGCTAGGAAGATATTCTCTATTGGGTTTTTAGGGCGGCTAGGGTGGTTATGTGGCTTAACTTGGACTTCGGACTCTATACTATTTTGTTTCGACTCCTTGAGTGTTTTTTAGTGGGAGAACCCGGGTCTAGACTCTCTTACTGTCGCTCACGCTCCTAAGGTGATCCGTCTATTGGAGATGTGCAGATAAACACGCTTTACAGGAATAACACAAAGTCGAACACCGAGAGCTAACACACATACAAGCAAACAAGCTCAACGGAGAGATAACATCGATCAGTATCCGGAGGATCGTCGTTTCCAAAACTAATGTTTTTTTACGTGTTTTATTATCCTAAACAAAACCTTAAAATTACCCACGCGAAGGCAAAAGATTTTCTTGGGAAGAAAGAAATTGAAGAGTAGAGAGAAGTACAAAGCTCGGTCGTCTTCTTCATAAGCTCCACTTTTCCATTTCCTGCGCCACAGATTACCAATCGAAACTCGCTCTCGGTTAGGGCAAAGAACCAGAAACAATGAGCAGCATAGGCACTGGTTACGATCTCTCCGTCACCACATTCTCCCCCGATGGCCGTGTTTTCCAGATCGAGTACGCCGCAAAGGCCGTCGACAACAGTGGGTATGTCTTTCTTTTTTTTCTCTTCCCCTTCTTTCTTCCATGGACTTTCCCTGAGGTAGTTAGGGATTTTGCGATTTCCTTTTTATGTGAGCTGGGTCTGGAATTCGTTTGCAGGACTGTTATTGGAATCAAATGCAAAGATGGAGTCGTTATGGTAAGTTTTAGAACGCTTTTGAGTGTGTTTCCTCTTGTTTGTGGTTTGTGGTGGAGTGTCTCTCACGTGCAAATCTGATGGGGGTGTTATTGATTCAGGGCGTGGAAAAGCTAATTACCTCGAAGATGATGCTTCCTGGTTCTAATAGAAGAATTCACGCCGTTCATCGTCATTCTGGCATGGTATTTCCTTTGTCTTTTCTCCATCACTGCTTTGAATTCAAGTAGTCCTGTATAAGGGTTTTGATTTTTTTTAGAGCTTTTATTACATAATGGTCGTAGATTACTGATTAAGGAGGGTGCCTTGACTGGGTGGAGACTTGCATATGAATAATGGAATAGAAAAGTTCATTTTCTTGGATCTTCTCATGTTCAAGTGTTTGAAGTTTAACATATAGCAAGAAGTGAACTGTAAAGCTACATGGGCTTGCATTCTAATCTTTTTCTTATTGATGTACTTCGTCATTCAATAACAGGCTGTGGCAGGGTTAGCAGCAGATGGAAGGCAAATAGTTGCTCGAGCGAAGTCTGAAGCAACCAACTATGAAAGGTTGGGACTCTTCTATTTTAGACAGTCTCCAATAACCCACACCTCCCACTCTATACATAAATGAAATTTGTTGTTCTGTAAGAATGCATATTGGATATGAATGTTTTCGGTGATGATACTTCGATTTTATTCAGTTTTCTGCTAATGTTTGAATATGATTCCTGAGTCCTGACTTGATAAATATATTTTAAATAGAGATTAAGATACGACATAACAGATGAACAGTATTAATATTCATTATGTCTTAGCACAAGTATAATTGTACCAGTAAACCATTCCCTGGGAAACAAAGTGACGATGATTGAATTATTGTACTGTCACATGCAAATGAATTGTTTTTTTCTAGAAAGTACATGCCTTCATGAACTTCTAGCTCTGCATACACGTTAATCATACATAGGTACAGTGAGATACTATACTGATGGGAGAAAACAATGGTGTCCAGAGCACTTTAAAAGTGAAGGCATACAGGCTATATGCTATATGATCATGAGAAAAGTTATCAATTAATCTAATGCTTTATCTGAGGTTATCTGAGATGTATTGTTGTTTTTGCATTATCATATTGAATGCTTATCTTGTTTTGTTATGGACTCCTTATGTAGTGTTTATGGTGAACCAATCCCTGTAAAGGAACTAGCTGATCGTGTTGCCAGTTATGTGCATCTCTGTACACTCTACTGGTGGCTCAGGTTTGTCACGATTTCAGTAAGACCTATAGTAATTTGAAACTGCTTCCTTCTTTCTCCTTAAATAGAATTAAAGTTAATGTTGCAGACCTTTTGGATGTGGCGTTATTCTTGGAGGTTATGATAGAGATGGACCACAATTGTACATGGTTGAACCATCCGGTGTTTCTTATGTGAGTTTATGCATTGACATGTTGCAGACTTGTGATATTTCAGTTTTAACTTTAATGCTGTTTTGTTCACAGCGCTTGCAAACTACTTATGCAAATCTATCACTGCTATGAACTTACATTTTTTTGAGGGTTTTTCCAGAGGTACTATGGCGCTGCAATTGGAAAGGGCAGGCAGGCTGCAAAAACGTAAGATTAAAGATTTACTTGTCATGATTCTTCTTTTGGGGGGATTGACTAGACACTCCTCTGTTGCTATCTAATTGAATTTAATGAGAATGAGTTTTCAAAAATGTGGATGCATGACTACTACAATCGGTATTCACAGTAATATAAACAAATGGCATAAGTGGCAGATGGCTACCTAAGGATGTTTCTGTAGGAGATTCATGTGTAGCTTTCTATGATTGACATGTGAATGCTCATTACTCATAATCTTGGAAAATAATATTCATATCAGGGATTTTAGTTGTAGAACCTTCTTGTTACATTGCGAATTTATTGACTAATTTATGGTGGATAATGTAGCCAATATTGAACTTCCAGAATAATGATTTTGTTGTACATAACCTTATAGTTGATACAAGTCCAAAGCACCCTCCACTCAAAATCATGTTTGGAAGTAATTTACAAGTGTTCAAAGTGAACATTCTCATGTTCGTATTAAAACAGTTATTTAGAAATACTCAAACAATGAGTACTTATGTAATTTTTCAGCCTAAATGCTCAACCGGAAGGTATTTAAAAAAGAACTTTGATTAATATAGAACCAAGAAGTACTTTTTACTGAAGTGCTTATAGTTAAAAGGACTTTTGTTTACAAGAATGGGCACTTTCTAATACACCTTTATTCATAATATCTCACCACCTTTGAATATATCCATCAATTTAACATCTCACTAACAAATTGTCTGTTATCCTTATTCATGATAATTTAAGTAATATTCCTGATCTACAAGAATGCTATGACAGGGAAATTGAAAAGTTGAAGCTCTCTGAAATGACATGTCGGCAAGGGATCATTGAAGTAGCCAAGATGTGAGTAACTTCTGAGTTGTTGGGCTTTGCTAAAACAAGTGATGGTGTAGTTTGTCCGAGCAAATGCTTGATTAGAATCTAACTCTTGGTTGCTCTTTTGGCGAGCAGTATTTATGGAGTACATGATGAGGCAAAGGACAAGGACTTCGAGTTGGAAATGAGTTGGATCTGTGATGAGTCCAACCGCCAACATCAGAAGGTACTATTAATGTTATAGAAGAAAATAAAGTGCAATTGTTCTTTTCAAAATTTTGTTACATGATATGTCATGATATTAGTATACCAATTCTGTTCTTCATATCAACATCGATTATGGGTAGCTGAATATTAGCGGTACATAAATTTGATTGTGGAAAGCTGCATCTAAATTCTGAACCGATTACCTAAAACTTAGTTTGCCTTCGGATCTTATGGAAGTTGTGACAGAAATCTACGGTTCATGAATTTTTGTCAGTGGTACATAATTCCTGTGGAAAAAATAGGATGGTATTAGCTGCCTACTACTATTGATATTAAATCGCGTTACGATTTAATGCGAACAGTGTAGTTGAAAGTAATATTAGTATAGTATGAAGATACTATAGTAATAGCTAGTATCCAATTCACGTTAACCTGAAATACTTTAGTATTAGGGAAGTGGCTCTCTGCAAAGCTAGTTCAACCACATGCTTCTTCCATTTTCAGGTCCCGGAGGATCTTCTAGGGGAAGCAAAGGCAGCAGCTAAAGCCGCCCTGGAAGAGATGGATGCTGATTAAGTTAGATATTTTTAGGTGTTCTTACTGTTGCAATTGCTTTATTTAGTTTCAAGCGTCTGGATAGAGTGCCCTGTAAGAATTTTCCAAGGATTCAGGAACAGATAAACTTATTGTGATTTCGATACTGCTTTATGGTACTGTTCTTAATCAAATTGGGAATTTTCTCCTGTAAGCCAGTAGAAGATCTTGCTCTTAAAAACACAGCATCTTCATCATTCATAAGATTGTCTATTTTTTATAAGTAATTGTGTAAAAGAAAATATGTTCCACTGTCGCACTTTTCTTAGCATTGTCGCACTTTTCTTAGCATTGGATTTTGTGTCGTATTTTTCTTAGCATTGGACTTTGTGTCGCACTTTTCTTAGCATTGAACTTTGTGATTGTGCGGCACTCACTCCTAACACCAAGGGAAGTCAAGCCAATTTGTATTCGTATTGCCTACAGCTGGGTAACGTATGCCTAAGCCTTTGACCCCGTTTGAGAAGAAGGTTTTAGAAAAGAGAGGAGAGATTTTGAAAGTAAGAATAAGAGAAGATTTAAAGCAACGTTATATAACCATCAGCAAAAGGCAATGTAACAGCATAAATAACATATAATTATCGGATAGAAAGAATTTTTTTACCCATAAAAACTGAAAATCATAAACTCATGAAAGTAAGTTTGTTATACAAAATGGTTCTTAGACCACTCTAATTTTAAATGATTAGAGACATATTTAAAAGTGAATTTAAAGGTGCAAAATTAGCTCTATCAGCACAGGTTGCAAATCTTTGGTAAACTTTATTAATTACACCAAAAAGTATACAACAAACCAAGAAAAAACTAAAAGGAAGTAGAATGAGGAGTCCTAAGAAAGAAGGCTATCCATTATCAGAAATTACAAATTCCTTCAGAATGTTAATACTCTTCAACATCATAAACATCCAAACTCTTCTTCCTAGTGGCAACCAAAAACACATATACAAATCTACCCTTCACACCAAACGCAATACTAAAATCTTCTTTACGTATGCACTTACATGGAAACATCATGGTGTTTAGCTTGGTCACACAGTTATAAATCAGTGTCGACCACGATCGTAGCTGCACTTGTCCACATCGACCAATCGTAACAGAGGTAACGAGCAGTGTAATCTTGTTAGGTGCATCTAGATCAATGTCTTTTACAGGGTCGATTAACTCCAGCTCGAAGACGAACGAAGATAACAAGCTGACTGAAACATTCCTTCCTAGTAGCAAGCATTGAGTCGAAAGTTCGAACTTCAGGAATGTAATCGAGCCATTAACTTACCTGAACCATCTGGTCTTCTTCCAACCAAAAATGCATAATCACAGTTGGAGGAGATGGATGTCAGCAATAGAGTAGAAATTTACACCATAGCTAATAAAAGCGACCTAGCCTGACGTATCGATTTCCTTTCCCGGATCATCATCGTGGATATTTCTCCGCAACCTTCTTAACCAGATGTCATAGTCCATTGGATACGGAGTTCCACACAGACTATCGACGTAGTCAGCGAATGCTTTCAGTACTGTTGACATGTCACCAAGCTTATGCTGAATTGACCTCCTTGACCAAGAGGTTTCTCGCCACAATAGCGCCCCCTCGACCGAATCCAGGTCGGGAAAAGCACCACCAGCGGCATAATAAAGCATATAAACTAGGCTTTCAGCATCTGATGCCGAGCAGAGCTTCCCCTCCTGTAGAGCAAGAGTGGATGAGAAGTGAAGATTCAAAGCAGGGCGGTCCCTGTCTTCAAGAATCGCATGTCCCCAGCCGATAAGAACAAAATAAGGTCGTCTCACACCCGATCTCACACAAATCACATTCTCTGGTCGGATGTCTCCATGTCGGATTCCAGCTGAAGCAGCAGTTGAGAGTGCAGACAAGCAGTCATGGCAACACCTTAATGTTTCTTCAGGACTAAATCTACCACCATTTACCATGTCTGCTACAGTTTCACCAACTGGGCTGGTCACAAGAATAGGCGTGCCACACCATGGGTGGTCGCAGTTCTGACCCGAGCTGGGTCTATGACACCGACCGGGATGAATGATCCTCCCAGATGCACTCAGTTGTGGTAGATACTTGCTAGATAGACCTTTCTGTTTCATTACAGTCAACACCCTGGTCTGCCTCTGTACTTGATACCACCAGTTCATATCTTCCCATGCTTCAAGCTGGGAAATTCGAGATCCGACGTAAAGAAACAGACTCTTTCCGGGTTCTTCAACAGGAGAAGCAATATAAAATTGAAGCTCACCAGAAGTCAGGAGTTCATTAATCTGATAACCCTTTTGCCAGTTCGAATCCTCCAACCACAACACGGATCCTACTTCCAACTTTACTATCTCTTCCGACTTAACTTTGATCGAATCTTCCTGAACTTCAACAATTTCAGGGGAAACACTTCGCCGTTGGAACCTAAACATACCATTCCCATTTGATCTGACATCGCCCAACTGCCTCTCTGCTCTTCTCGTTTGCAAACGAGAACTATGCTCGGCAGCTAGATCCTCAATTGAGTGCGTCGGAACTCCAGCAAATTGCATTATACAATGGAAGGTTGCAAAAAGTATTTGTAAGGCCCCAATATTTCCCCAGTTTGCATTTCCAAGCTCATTCCAGATCCTATCAATTTGAGAAACTGATATTGTAGCATATCGTTTTATCCATTCAGCAGCACATTCATACGCATTATTCGGATCGCACTCCAATCTACTTAAATCTCCTTCAACTTTTATTACTCCTCCATACTGTGAATCGACAAGAAGAACAAAAACGGAGTTTAAACTCGGTGAATAGTTCGATTTGTTCGAGCTTCTTGACAACAGCATGCGGATAGCATAAAAAAGGGCCTTGCCAAAGACAGATGAAGAAGGATAACTCTCATGGTCCACAGCGAGGTTTCCGATATCAGGACTCAGTACAGCAAGCGTAAGAATTTGGCCCCACTTCCCATGGGGATGTCGAGGGTTCTTCAACAGTATGCCAGTGGCCGAAAGACCTTCCAGCTTCCCTGTAGCAATGGCCTTCTCAGCATGGTAAAATTTTAAATTATCCCTGTACAAACAAGCAACAGTGAAAGGCAGGGACTGATCTTGACTCCCCCAAAATGCCTCCCACAAACCTTTCACACATGCATGAAGAAAATCCTCAACAGCAAGATAAGCAGTTGCTTCCACGCCATCAGAGGCCGAAGCACAAATAGCACTCGGCATTCGAACCAGCTGCTGAAATGAAATACCTTCTAGTGCATAGTCAAACTTCTGTAAATCTATCAACTCAAACGGAACATCGAAAACAGACTTTTTGGTTTTAGAATTCTCTAACACTTCTTCAAACCAATCCTCGAGTTTGGCCGTAAAGATTTCACTGTCCAAGAATTTGTAAAGAAACTCGTTCCGGTTTCTAGACTTACTTCCAGATGATACACTGGACCTTTTCGTTCCAGAATCCACGGATTCCTGGTCTGGTGATACACCTGTCGGAAGATGTCGATCAATTAGCCTCAAGCTGGTTAGCAAAACATTATATAAATTTCAACAAAGCCAATGTGATCACTAAGCTTTGATGTGCAACTAAAGCTCACTCACTGCCTAAAAATGTGATTCAGAATTCTCAAATTTGGCCAGTTTCTTTCCCTCTCAAAAGATAACTAGCTTATAGAAATTTTGATTTTTGTTCTTCTCCCATGAGTATTTGGCTAGATAGGAATAGTGAAATTATCATAGTGGTGGAGAGGTTTTGGAAAGAGGTTTAGGAGATTTCGACTTAACACCTTTTTATCACTCAAGTTTATGTAATTATCAGCTAGGTTTTATTCATCACGGAAGAAAGGGCTCACTAAGCCGAGATCACTAACTCATACTAATAGAATAGAAAAGAACTGTCTTTTCTATATACTTTTCCTAGTTCCATTGCTACCGCGAGTTTTACGCAATCAATCGGATCATATCGATATCACTTCAACACAACATAGGTCATAGAAAGGATCTCGGAGACCCACCAAAGCACGAATGCCAGAATCTTTTAGAAAATGCATTCCTATTTGAAGAGTGGATAACCACACGGATAAGTTCACACTAACCCGTCAATTTTGAATCTAATTCGGAATTTTCCTTGAGAGGTAATGGGAAGGAATTGTAATGTAATAATATCGGTTCATACAGATACAAAAGAACAGGTTCTTGGATTGAAGTTCATACATGACCAGCTGGTGTTTGTACTCCTTTTTCATGCTAGTCATTTTATGCCCTTGTACAATCTTTTATTTGGCTTAATGAAACCACGTTTTTGGTGACTTACCCAAAAACTATTAATGCCTTTTTATTTAATAAAAAAATTTAAAATCAATTTCAATATCAGCATGAACAAGAAAGTTGATTAAAACTAATAGGCTTAAATTTCATAAAAGAACAATCACACTATAAACCTACTTATATGTATACTTCTCCAAATAAAAGTCCAGAAGGAGATCCCAAACGCCCTGTTAGATACCGATTTGGTTTTTGAAATTTTTTTGATAAAGAAACCGAATCTTCGTTGAATAAATTAAAGAATAAAAGGCATACAAAAAACTTGATTTTGTTACGGAAAGAATTCAGATATTTCTTTAAAAGTGAAAACCCACAGAAAATAAACGATAAGAAAATAAGCACGATTTTCAAAACAAAATAGTTATCAAATGACACTCCATATCAAGTCATAGCTTGCACTGTCAAGCCAAGTGTCATGGTCATGCTTATCCAAGGCATATTGCCCACGACTGCATGCTCATTACATGCCAAAACCCTTGCCTTGTACTACTTTATCGCCTTCCTTTACTGCTTTCATGTTGTATAATTTCCTTCTTGCTTTTCCTAAGAGTATGACGTTTCGGCAAAATCATGTTTATGCTTGGTAGACATGAAATGCCCCAAAATGTACTATAGAGGGATGAGATTAGTTGTTAAATTCTCCCTACCCACCCGAAAAGTTATATACTGTTTAAGCCGTTTTTGTTGTCTTTTGCTTGCATGCTATATAACATCGCTTTCAATCTCTCTCTTAACCTTGCTTTCAAACTCTCTTTTCCAAATCTCTCTACCCCGTTTTTTAAAACCTTCTTCTCAAATCCGGGCCGGAGGCTTGAGCATACGTTGCCCGGCCGTAGACGATGCGATCCAAAGTTGGCTTGACTCACTCAATGCTGAAAGTGAGTGTCACACAATCGCCAAATCTGCTGCCAAGAAAAAGGCGATTGTGACACCAAGCATAATATGCACGAAAGAGCACCTCAGCAACAGAGATGAATGCACGTAAGAGCATACATCCCAGAGAATTGACAAGATATCAAAATGGTTACCCAGACACCAACAATCACTCAAAATTCCCCTTTGACACACTGCCTTCACTCCTTACCATTGTAATCAGAACGCGAATGGCAGTTCTCAATGCTATAAAACGCAACCTGCTTCAGTTTCAAGAGGTTGTTTCCTATTGGGAAGAAATTTTTTTATAATTCTCAGCAGTTAATTTCACTTCCAGTTAATCAAACCACAATCAGAAACACCACAGCAATCACCACGATTATGAATCAACAATTCAACAAGACTTCCAAAATGAAAGAACGAACCAAAATAACCTAAACTCAGAAACCCTAGATCATCTACCACAAAGAAACCCCGGAATTTTCATCTCAATTCTAAACTCAGTTCGTCAACTCCATATAAAAATTTCCTAAAAAAGTAAACAACAAGAGGAATGAAATACAGAAAGAACCACAAAAACTCCTCACTCACCAGCATGAGCACCGGAATAGAAATCCGGTGAACTTGATAGAGAAATTCGGAGTTAGAGAGAGAATTCTGACCTTCCATTGACGAAATATGAAGTTGGGAGTCGAGGACCATTGACCACGAACCCCCTTAATTCCAAAATGAAATTCAAAATCCACACGCTGATTGATTTCACCCTGGTCTTCGATTACGATCCCGGCGAAATTCTCTCTGCTTTTTTTTGGGGGGTCCCTCAGTTGTTGGCCTTCATTGAACGAACACGAATTTCCACTTCCAAATTCTCTTTGCTTCCGGCGTCCGGTGTCAACCAGAGGGTCCGACCCGACCCGACCCATGGTTGTTCGGGCTTACGAAGCGTTACGACAAGTAGTTTAAACCTTTTATTGGTTGCCTTCGTTGTTGTTTGGTCGGTTAAAGTGTATTGGTGTCTTGTGTTTGGTCATACGTGGTTTGGCAAAATTGTTCGGCATTCATCCATTCAACTTAATCCTAAATTGTTCGTAATTATATTTAACTAAATCTCTCTCGAACTAGTGAAAGCGTGAAAGCGTGAAAGCGTGAAATCTCATTGTTCAAGTCTCGAAACAAGCCTTCGAAAGAATTAATCATCTACTTACCATATATGGGAATGAGTGAATTTTATATTATAAAATTATGTTTCCAACGTCCTATTTGGTGAAGTATACCTGACCCAACCCGACCCATGTTTGTGACCTATATGCTAGAAGTATGGCTTATGAACCTCATGATATGACACGTGCCTAGGTTATCCCTTAAGTATTTACGATGGACCCTTAGAGCTAGAACCATGAACTTATGAACATAAGATATTGTTTTGGAGTCATGAGCCAAGCCGAGTAGGCAGGACCCTAGAATTTGCATAACCCAATCCTCAAGCCTATCCTGCCACTCAACTCGGACCTACTTTATGCTCTAAGTCACCTCAAACCTCAAGATGCATGGGTACATCATGATCATATATTTTTCTCTTCTTCGGTGCGATGTTTTGCTTAACAGGAGTCATGACCCATACTATGTCGCCAGGGACGAAGAGATTGTTGGGGGCCAAATATATGCGAAATATAGAATTTGAATCATGATCTGAATCCCGGACATGGTGCACGAGTGTTGCCTTAGAAGTGAAATCATGATATGCCTTTAGTTAGGTTATAGAGTGTAGTACACTAGCATCCATCATGGACACGATTACGAGCCTATAAATAGCTACTTATTTATCCGTTTTTATACTCACTCTAGCTTTTACATAAATTTTCAGGTAATGACTAGAAGCTAGTCGAGGACAGGAATAGATCTGAAGTAGATGCCATAGAGAACCAAACCTAGGGTTGAGAGCCTCTTCTAGTTTTGTGTTAGTTTTTGTCTAGTTGTTTCGTATTCCGTTCCCTTATGTATTTAAACTCAAAACTATTTTGTATATTGTCTAAATACAACAAGGAAGGATTGATCTCTAAGGTTGGATGGTGCACGATAGGAATAAGTGTTGAGGACTGTTGAGAAGAGTCCGACATCGGCTAATTAAGGGAAAGATCATAAGTTTATAAGAAATACTATCTTCATTCGTATGAGACCTTTTGTGCCATGAGAGTTGTCTATGATTCCTAACATGGTATCAGAGTCATGTCTTTAAGTACTTGACCATGTCAATAGAATCCTCAAGTGTCGAATAAAGAAGTTGTGAGCCTCTAAGATATAGTCATAAGCGACTGAAGTGTTGAACAAATGGTGTAGTTTGTTCCCTTTGTTCGAGAGCTCTAGAGAAGGAGTCGGGCCTCGATTAAAGAGAGATTGTTCGAGGGCTCCAGAGGTCTTAGAGACGGCTCTATGATGTACTTTGTTCAAGGCGTGGATTGTTGAGGATTGTTCGGAGGAGTCCTACATTGGCTAATTGAGGAGAAGATCATAGGTTTATAAAGGAATACTATCTCCGTTGGTACGAGACCTTTTGGAAAATTAAAAGCAAAACCATAAGAGCTTATGCTTAAAGTGGCTAAATTATACCATTGTAGAGATTCGTGATTTCTAATAATAAGGCTTTCTCTACCTAAGGCCTCAATCTCTCGAATGCACGACAAGCACCAATTCAAAGAACTAATACTTAAAATTGTGAGTCGAGAGTCTAATGATTATCCTTCTCTTTTTAAAGTGATTTTAGATGATTAAGACGATCAACTCTACTAACTCAAAAGGTTCTTGTCCCACGTCTCGACACGAAAAATAATAGTGTTGTTCATATGTTCTAAATTATTCAACTTTTTTTGTATTGAATTTGAGAAGAAAATTGTGAGATCCCGTATTGGTTGAAGAGTGAAACGAAACATTTTTTTTATAAGAGTGTGGAAACGTCTCCCTAATAGACACGTTTTAACACTATGAGGATGACGACGATACATAACAGGCTGAAACGAACAATATCTGCTAACAGTGGCCTCGAGATGTTACAAATGGTATCAAAGTCAAACACTGGGTGTTGAACACAACTCACACTCTGTAGAATACTTCTGCCTTTTATTGTTTTTGAATTTCTTGGATAAATAACTTAGGTAGGGTGGAGGCTATAGCCTACTCAATTTAGACCTACCAAATCTAAATCTAAACTTAACAATAATTTTTTTCCTAAAATATCTAGATCTCTTTCTCCTCGAGATATCTAGATCTCTTTCTCCTCAAATCTCGAGGTATTTCCCCGGAATCTCTACTAAAATAAATATATAATGGGCTCGTACAATTATTGGGCTTGACCCTATTGGGCAAGTGATGATATTTCAACACTGGGCAGTGTGCCAGAGAAAACTCTAGCCCCCAAGAGGGTGGGGATTGTGAGATTTCACATCGATTAGAGAGGGAAATGAAACATTTTTTATAAGAGTGTGGAAACCTCTTAGACATGTTTAAAAACTATGAGGCTGAGGATGATACGTAACGAGCCGAAGCTAACTGCTAGCAGTGGTATTGTGTTATTACAATTTTGTCTTTGTTTTTCAAAGGTGATCGCATCTGGAGCGGACCTACCGTTTTTTATAAATTAATGTGTCAAATACATTAGTTATTTAAACATCAAATTTAATTTTAAATCTATTAAATCACTTCATATTTTAAAATTTTATAAAATTGAAAGTTTTAAGAAACTATAAGATGTTTATAAATTAAAAAATTAATTAAAAACTTAATAAGTACAAAATAAAAATTGAAATTTTATAGAGCAAATTTGTAATTTAAGTTAAATTCTTTTACATATACAAATTTTTTTTAAATATATATAATTTTCTTTAGCAATCCTTTCTCGAACTTTTTTAAAAATTCATAAAAGAGATGGAAAAGCTGGGTCAGATTAACGGCTAGTTTTGTGGCGTTCAGATTTTCCAGCTCATCTCAACGGCTCGCCTTATCTGTCAGCAAAATTTGACCGTTACTTTCTTCTTTTTTTTTTTTTTCAAATTTCATCTTTAAATTCAAAATTTTTATTATTAATTAATACAAAAGTTGAGTGAACAGTTTTTTAAATAAATAAATATATATATATATATATATATATATATTTGTTCAAACATATTATTTTTTATTCACTAACTTTAAGGTTACGGATTAAGATAAAGACTTAAAATAACCTTAAGATCCCCTAAATAGGAAGGAAGGCACTTGCTATTTGAAATCAAAGGTTGACTTTTGAGAATTGTACGGAAGGAGCACCATAGGTGGAAATGCCACAAGCTCAAGCACAACACATGCAGACGAAAATTAAGGGTCGAACTGCAACAGGTTAGTCCCCCAATACAACCTACGATCACGTTTACACTAGAGGCGTTGTAGTCTCTCGTGAGGACATCCATAAAAAAAATCATACCAACTAGATAGTGTAGGTTATCTCAACTACTTGAGCACTGAGGAAAGGTGGATTAATAGCTTGTGAGGCCTAATTAGAAGTAATCGGAACAACATTCCAATACATAAATTGTCTAGAAAATTACAAGGTACATTGAGCCACCTACATGTTCAAAGGGGAGACACTTTTCGTGGAAGCCACTTCAAAGACTTTGAACGCTGAATGAGGGGTTATCCCATGGGCCCAGTTTAGGGAGACGTCCTTCAAAAAGCATTACCCTACTATATCCATGTTTAAGAACTAGGACGCATTCTTAAGCCTCAAGCAAGGAGATAATACGATAGAGGAATACAACGTGGAGTTCACCATGTTATCAAGGTTTGTGCCAGATAGACACTAAGAAGAAGAAGACCCTCGGCTTCATCATGGGCCTTTGTGAAGATATTCAGGGTCAATGACGACCCATGACTCAAATGACTACACCACTATACTAATGGACGTCATCTTATTGGATATGCATCGACAACAAGCTAAAAAGATGGAGCACGTCCAATTCACACATGAGAAGGTTTGACAAGAACCATAAGTCAAACAAAAAACCAGACAAGCGACACAATAATTAGAAGCCACCCTAGAAGGACACACTTTTGTGCCAAAAGTACTACAAGCACTATGATGGGGAAGGATGAGCAGGAACTAACACCTGCTTCAACTGTGGCAAAAATGACAATAGAATTGTCGAATTTTAACAAACAAGTGAGCCTGAATCAAGAACAATAGCCGCCGCCTCAAAATAAGAAGTCAAAATAAGAACTAGTGGAGCAAAGGAGATTGCAATAGTAGCATGTTGTTTCTCATGCTACCGTGACCAAGAGAGCTGACAACCTTGATACAGTAGTCACATGTACCATCCCCATTCTTGGTTATTCGACTCAAGCTCTACCCACTCCTTTATATTAGAGGAATTTATGGGACAAGATGTGTTAGGCCTAGAGCCTTTAAAAGTACCTCTTATTGTATCCACACCTGCTGGAATAGATCTATTAGCCACCTAGAAAATGAAGGTCAATAGAGTTGTGATCACAGGAATGACTCTAGAGGTGACGTTGGTTGACCTACACATTAGTTATGTCAACATCATCCTAGAAATGGACTATTAGCCGGCAACTATACCTACATAGACTATCGGACCTTCAGACCCATCAAGAGAAAACTTCAAGTATAAAGAAGAGTATTCCACCTCCACTAGTGCTCAAGGTAGTCAATCTCTCGAGCTCAAATGACGTTTTTTGAATTTGTTTTTCAACTCTTTCAAATTAGATTATATTTATCTTTTTCCAATTTAAAAAAAAAAAAAAACAAGAAAAATAAAGGCTCCGTAATTCTCGCTATAATTTGAGAATAACCTACCAATTTTTTGTCCAAGATTTTTTAAAATTATTATTTTATATTTTTGAATTTGAAATTAGAGGGGTCAGTGAAGCTCACGTGCGAAGAGAAGATGAGCCCACACATTTTCTTGAGGACAAAAATGTAATTATATTTCAAATTTAATTAATGATTTAAAAAATTGATCAATGAACTTAATGGTTTGCATTTATTTAATCTCCCTAAAATTGTTAATTGCATTTATTAATTTTCTATTTTGATTTTAATTTAAATAAACATATAGTTTAAATCATTTAAATTAGTTATTTTCCCCCTATTTAATTTATATAAAAAAGAGAAAAAAAAGTACATTACTTAAGAACTTCCGTCAATTCAATTGGGTTACATTTTATTTCGACTCGGATTGAGTTGATTTTTTTAGAAAACTAAAAATTTAGGTTGATTCTCAGGCTGATGTGTTTTGGTTGGGTCAGTCCGACCAATCTAATAATCTAGAAAATAGAGTTACAATTCAACCCGAAAATAGAGGGTTGAGTTGAGTTTTATTCAAATTGTTCGAGTCACCAACCCAACCAACTTAAAATTTTAACTCAAGTACACTTCTAATTAGTACAATAACTTATGACTTTTATGAGAAAGATATAATATCTGAATTATTGAGGTATTATTTGATCGAGCCAATGAATAATAATTTAAACTATATAAAATGAAATTAAAATAGCCAAAAAAAAAAATAATAAGAGTAGGTGACTAGGTAATACTAAAGGATGAGGCCAATAATTTATTATTATTACTTTTTACTTAGTTACCATATTGTGTTAAATTATTATATTTATTATTATTACTTTTTACTTAGTTAGCGTTAAATTATTATATTTATTGAATCAAATTATATAGAGTTAAAAATAAAAATAAAAAATATTAAGAAATATATTTATTTCCACCAATAAAAATAAAGAATTTTTAATTTATAATCCATAAATTAAATATTCAAACGCTCCTCTCTAAATCCTCCTCCTGGTTGATCAATCAATCATTTCAAGGGGAAAGAAAGCTCTCTGCTTTCTCAACTCTCATCGTCTGTGTACACTCAATCTCTCTGTTTGGGGTTCCTCGGGCGAACCAGAGCTGCAGGGATTCTTCAGAGGTAGTATTTTTTTCTCATCTGGATTTTCTTTTCTGTCACTTCAACATGAATCTTTTTGATTTGTTTCTGAGTTCTTGTGTTTTGTGACTTTGAATGATGTTTTCGCTCTTAATCTTAGTTCGATCGGGTGGTTTTTGATCTCTCGACTTGCCTTTTTTCTTTTTTAAGGATGACAACTTTGCTCTTGTTACTTACTGTGAATGTGGAAATGGGGATGGGGGATTTTGAGAATTAGGGTTTTTCTTGGTTGTTCTTGCCGTCGATTGGAATGTTTGTTTCCACAAGTGTTTTGTTCTTCTGATGCTGTAGTTTAAGCGTTCGAAGCTAGTCTTAGCAATTAGGGCACTTCTTTCGTAAATTTCAGCCCCGAAATCTTGCTTTATCACTGTGTTTTTCCACTTTATAAACTTCTCTTTTGGGGTTTTAGCAACGGGAAGTTTTTTTTCTGACATAAAATGCTCTTTCCTGATGTTTGATTTTGCAGCTCTAATTGTTTCATTCTTGCACCGTTTCTTGTTAACACTCAATTCATGAAATAATTGTGCATAAATCAGTGGTCGATTGTTTTTAATTCCGAAGGTTGTTGGCTGTGTTTATTTGTTAGTGTTTAGTAACGATTTTCCTTCTGTTCTTCACTCGGATGATGCAATCCTTGTAAAATATGCTGGTATCTAGGTCTTTTAAAGGTTTAAGACCTGGAAGATTAACAATTGGTTTTTGGTTTTAGAGTCTTGATGTTGAAATCAACTTTTGTTCATATGACATCAGGGTTTTATACTGATTAATGTTTGTGTTTCGGTGAGACAGTGGCAATATCTAAGAGTTAATCCATAAAACTGGATGTCCATCTTAGTTGTAATTTCTCTTGCTTCTAGCCATATTTGGCATGTACACCATGAGTGGCAAAACATATTTTGGTGCTAATCTTATTGTATGTTTCTGCATAGGGATGGATGTAGAATGCTTGGGTACAAAGGTGGCATAATCTCTTTGTGTTAGACAACATATATGCAGATTAATTAATCTGGTCATGTTGCTCGGTTGATCCCTTTTAGACTTGTTCTGTCGGTGTCCGTGATCTTGTGCATCCTAACTGCATAGGTGTATTAGACTAACTTATGGCCACAAGATATGTACGTTTCTCTTAAAATTTGTCAAAAACTTGACTAGAGCTTCAATAAGCATTCTATTGATAGTCTTGTGTCAACTCTGGAATCTGTGGCTATTGTACTGCCTGTTTAAGTTTATGAAAGGGTTTTATGTTAGTTATTCGTTTTCCTAGTTATTCATTTTCCTCGAGAAAAGCAAAATGGATTTAGTGCAGATACCCTATTCTTATGTTCTTTATGTATCTCAATTTAAATACCTTTTAGCCATTACCCAGATCTCACGTTATTCTGTACACTAACTTCCCATTCTATTTGCAGGTTCTTCTTTGCCTCTGGATTGCATACTCCGCGAAGTTGAAGTTTTTCAGCTCAGTTTCTGTTGATTGTTGAATAAAGTTATTCAAGTTAGCAGTTGCGTAGAAGTGCTTTGTTTTTCCCCCATTGGATATGGTAATTTTTTGCCTATCAGACGTTATATATTTTTTTTTTCGGTGTGATACTAGAAATCGATATGCGCCACCCCCCCCCCCCCCCCCCCCCCCCCCCCCCCCCCCCCCCCCCCCCCCCCCCCCCCCCCCCCCCCCCCCCCCCCCCCCCCCCCCCCCCCCCCCCCCCCCCCCC